CATTCTATGCAGAGGAAACAGCAAGTGCAAAGGCCTTGAGGTTGGAGTGTTTAAAAAATAGCAAGGAGGCCAGGCATGGTGGCTCACACCTGTAATGCAAGCGCTTTAGGAGGCCAAGGCTGGAGGATCACTCGAGTCCAGGAGTTTGAGGTTGTAGTGAACTATGATCGTGCCACTGCCCACCAGCTTGGGTGACAGAGAGAGACCCTGTCTCTAAAAACGAGTGAAAGACAGACAGACGAAATGGCACAGCAAAGAGATCAGTGTTGCTGGAATGAGTGGGGCATAGGCAAAAACTAAGAGAGAATTTGAGACAAATATTCAGTGGTCAGATGATATAGTTTTGATTTGAGTCTAAATAAGAGGGGAAGCATGCCAGGCATGGTGACTCACACCTGTAATCCCAGCACTTTGGGAGACCAAGTCAGAAGGATTGCTTGAGACCAAGAGTTCAATACCAGCCTGGGCAACATAGTGAGACCCCCCTCTCTACAAAAAGTTTTTTAAAAGTTAGCCAGGCTTGCCGGGCGCGGTGGCTCAAGCCTGTAATCCCAGCACTTTGGGAGGCCGAGGCGGGTGGATCACAAGGTCAAGAGATCGAGACCATCCTGGTCAACATGGTGAAACCCCGTCTCTACTAAAGCTACAAAAAATTAGCTGGGCATGGTGGTGCGTGCCTGTAATCCCAGCTACTCAGGAGGCTGAGGCAGGAGAATTGCCTGAACCCAGGAGGCGGAGGTTGCGGTGAGCCGAGATCGCGCCATTGCACTCCAGCCTGGGTAACAAGAGCGAAACTCCGTCTCAAAAAAAAAAAAAAAAAAAAAAAAAAAGTTAGCCAGGCTTGGTGGCATGCACCTGTGGTCCCAGTTACTCAGGAGGCTGAGACGGGAAGGTCTTCTGAGCCCAGCAGGTGGAGGCTGCACCACTGCCCTCCAATCTGATGACAGAGCAAGACCCTATTTCCAAAAAAAAAATAAAATGTCTAAATAAGAGGAGAAGCCACTGGGGAGTTTTGAAAAGAGGATTGACATTATCTTTGTACTTTTTGGTTTTGGTTTTTTTGTTTGTTGTCGTTTTTGTTTTTGTTTTTTTGAGAAGGAGCCTCGCTCTGCCTCCAGGCCGGAGTGCAGTAGCGCTATCTAGGCTCACTATAACCTCTGCCTCCTGGATTCAAGTGATCCTCCTGCCTCAGCCTCTCTAGTAGCTGGGACTACAGGTGCGTGCCACCACGCCTGGCTAATTTTTGTATTTTTAGTAGAGACGAGTTTCATCATGCTGGCCAAGATGGTCTTAATCTCTTGATCTCATGTTCTGCCCGCCTTGGCCTCCCAAAGTGCTGGGATTATAGGCGTGAGCCACCGTGCCCGGCCATCTTTGTGTTTTAACAGAATCGGTCTGGGTATGTCCTTTCTTATTTTATTTATTTATTTGAGACAGGGTCTGTCTCTCTCAGCAGGCTGAAGTGCAGTGGTGCGGTCATAGCTCACTGCAGCCTCCAACTCCTGGATGCAAGGGATCCTCCCACCTCAGCCTCCTGAGTAGCTGAGACTGCAGGGGCATGCTACCATACTGGGCTACTTTTGAAATTATTTGCAGAGAAAGGGTTTTGCTATGCTCTCCAGGCTGGTCTCAAAATCCTGGCGTCAAGTGATTTTCTTGGCTTCACCTCCCAGCATTGGGATTACATGTGTGAACCACTGTACTATCAGTATGTCCTTTGTTACTGGGTCTTGAAATTTAAAAGTATAATAATAATAGTAATTCCACAACATATGAATAAGGCTGGGAGGCTGAGGCAGGAGAATTGTTTAAACCTGGGAGGCAGAGGTTGCAGTGAGCCGAGATTGCACCATTGCACTCCAGCCTGGGTGACAGAACAAGATTCCAGCTAGGAAAAGTTTCAAAATTAAGTAAATAAATAGAATCAGTCCAAACTTTTTTTTTTTTTTTGAGATGGAGTCTCGCTCTGTCGCCCAGGCTGGAGTGCACTGTTGTGATCTCGGCTCACTGCAACCTCTGCCTCCCCAGTTCAAGCAATTCTCCTGCCTCAGCCTCCTGAGTAGCTGGGATTATAGGCGTGCACCACCACATTTGGCAAATTTTTGTATTTTTAGTAGAGATGGAGTTTCACCATGTTGGTCAGGCTGGTCTTGAACTCCTGACCTCATGATTCACCCGCCTCAGCCTCCCAAAGTGCTGGGATTATAGGAGTGAGCCACCACGCGCAGCCAGGCCAAACATAACAGATAAGTTAGAAAAAAAAAAAAAGCAAACTGGGAATGAAAGATCTGCACTTCATATCACAGATTCCTTAATTTCCTCAATATATAAAGCTTCTAGAAATTAATAATAAAAGCATCAACTATTCAATGGAAAATAAATTGGGCAAAGGTGTGATCAGAAGGTCGACCAAAAATGAAACACAAGCCAGGCGCGGTGGGTCACGCCTGTAATCCCAGCACTCTGGGAGGCCAAGGCAGTGAAACCCCGTCTCTACTAAAAGTACAAAAAATTAGCTGGGTGTAGTGATGTGTGCCTGTAATCCCAGATACTCAGGAGGCTGAGACAGGAGAATCGTGTGAACCTGGGAGGTGGAGGTTGCAGTGAGCCAAGATCACACCATTGCACTCCAGCCCAGGCAACAATGTGAGACTCTGTCTCAAAAAAAAAAAAAAGAAAAAGAAATACAAAAGGTTCTTTAACTTTTGAAAAGATATTCAGCTTCTCTCATAATAAGAGAAATGCAATTTACAACCACACCGAGATACCAATTTTTATCTGTTAGATTTGCATAAACTCAGAAGACAGATGATGTGCTGTGAGCCAAAGCTGCCGCCAAGCAAGGAGGCTGACATACGGACACTGGTCCTCCGGGAAGGACGCGAGTTTGGTAATGTTCAGGAAAATCACAAATGCATAGATTCCTTCACCAAATAATCTCGTAACAGAAACTCTTGCACATGTGTGAGAGGATACAAGGCCTGCCACTGCAGTCGTCTATGTAATAGCAAACATTTGGAGAGACCCAGAGATCTATCAGTAGAGGAAGGGCTGCATGAATTATTGTTCATCTACACAGTGCAATATACTGCAGATCTAAAAAGAATGAGGATGTCTGCTTGGGCTGATATGGGAAATCCTCTGGCCGGGCACAGTGGCTCATGCCTGTAATCCCAGCACTTTGGGAGACTGAGGAAGGCGAATCAGTTAGCAGTTTGAGACCAGCCTGGCCAACATGGTGCAACCCCATCTGTACTAAAAATACAAAAATCAGCCAGGTGTGGTGGCAGGTGCCTGTAGTCCTAGTTATTCAGGAGGCTGAAGTAGGAGAATCGCTTGAACCCGGGAAGGCGGAGTTTGCAGTGAGCTGCGATCATGCCACTGCATTTCAACCTGGGGGACAGAGTGAGACCCTGTCTCAAAAAAGAAAAAAAAAATCCTCCAAGGTATACATGATTCAAGGTAACAAGTGAGGTTCACATTGATTTATATAGTATGATGCTTTTAGTGAAAAAGTTTTTTTTAAAGTATATATTCAGATTTTTTTGTTTGTATGTTTTTTGTTTTGAGACAGAGTCTCACTCTGTCACCCAGGCTGGAGTGCAATGGGGCAATCTTGGTTCACTGCAACCTTCGCCTTCTGGGTTCAAGCGATTCTCCTGCTTCAGCCTCCTGAGTAGCTGGGATTACAGGCACCTACCACTGTGCCTTGCTAATTTTTGTATTTTAGTAGAGATTGGGTTTAGTCATGTTGGCCAGACTGGTCTTGAACTCCTGACCTCAGGTGATGCACCTGCCTCAGCCTCCCAAAGTGCTGGGATTACAGGCATGAGTCACAGTGCCTGGCCTATATTCAGTTTGTTTAAACTAAAACTCTCCATGTCTGTTTTAAAATTGTGGTAAAATATGTGCACTACAAAATTTACCATTTTTGGCCAGGCATGGTGGCCCACGCCTGTAATCCCAGCACTTTGGGAGACCAAGGCGGGAGGATCCCCAGAGGTTGGGAGTTCAAGACCAGCCTGACCAACATGGAAAAACCCCATCTCTACTAAAAATACAAAAATCAGCTGGGCGTAGTGGCACATGCCTGTAATTCGCAGCCACTCGGGAGGCTGAGACAAGAGAATTGCCTGAACCTGGGAGGCAGAGGTGCAGTGAGCTGAGATTGTGCCACTGCATTCTAGCCTGGGTGACAGCGGTGAGACTGTCTCAAAAAAAAAAAAAATAGTAACTACCATTTTAACCATTTATAAGTGTACAGATCAGTGGCCTTAGGTACATTCACATTGGGGTACAGCCCTCACCGCTGTCCATCTCCAGAACTTCATCCGCTTCCCAGACCAAAACTCTGTCCCCTTAAAACACAGATTCCCCATTCTGTCCTCCCTTTGCCCCGGGCACCCACTGTGTGACTTTCCAGCTCTATGGATTTGACTACTTTAGGCCTCTCAGATAAGTGGAATTTTCTATCTGGTTTATTTCACTCAGCATGGTGTTCTCAGTACTCACCCATGTGTCAGAATTTCCTTCCTTTTTAAGGATATACAAAAGTCTGTTTATCCTTTCATGAGTTTCTGTTTTATTTTTTTCAGACAGAGTCTTGCTCTGCCGCCCAGGCCGGAGTGCAGTGGCACGATCTTGGCCTCACTGCAACCTCTGCCTCCTGGGTTCAAGTGATTCTCATGCCTCAGCCTCCCTAATTACAGGCGCCTGCCACCACGCCCAGCTGATTTTTGTATTTTTAGTAGAGAGAGAGTTTCACTATGTTGGCCAGGCTGATCTCAAACTCTTGGCCTCAAGTGATCTGCCTGCCTCAGCCTCCCAAAGTGCTAGGATTACAGGCGTGAGCCACCATGCCTGGCTTGCTTGCTTGCTGGCTTGCTTCCTCTGTCTTTCTTTCTCTCTCTCTCTTTGGAGACAGTATTTCAACTGGCTTTTTAATTTTTTATTTAATTTTAAGAAATGGAGCTTCATTAAATAGTAAATGTAATTATGACTTGTGATTATAAATATATATTTAATGGAAAAAATATGCATACATTGCTGGTGTGTGCTCAAATACATTTTGCTGATGGGGTGTGTAACCGGGAGTGTCCCCTTGGTCCACAGAGCTCTGGTGTATGCACGGGGGTGGGGGGTGGGGGTTATGAATCATTCCTGTATTCTCAGGCCTAAGATCATGAAGTTATGAGGTTGAATGAGGCAGAGTCTGTCTCATCCTTCAAGTGTCATAACAATGCCTCTTCCTCCAGGAAGCTGCCCTTGCTTTCCCAGAGACGGCTGCGGCTTCCTGCTCTGGGCTCCCCAGCCCAAGTTCCCGGGGTCCCTCTCTCTATTCCAGCTGTGACCACAGAAGTGTCTATGCATGAAAATTGAGGCCTTTCTGGGATTCTAGCCACATCCAGGCACAGAGCAGGAGAGGAGGAGTTTGCAGAGTGAATGAATGCATGAAGAGTCTGCTCAGCCTCTGAATTAGACGTGGAATGAAGAGATCTGGTTGTTTAGGGGTGGGGATCGTGGGGCTCTGTTCAGCTCATCTTGGCCGCACCTGGGCTGGGAGGCAGCCGCAGGACAGACATCGCAGGCCGAGGCTGAGAAGGCGCGGACAGCGGAAGAGGAGGCAGTGGGTGGTTCGCACGTACAGGCTGCCGGAGGAGTCCACGGTTTTGAGCATGGTCAGTGGCGAGTAGCGGACGTTGGTCTGTTGGCGCAGGGGTGGTCGAGTCGAGCCGATGACCTTGACAATGGCCTGCAGGGTGGAGCCCCTGAGTGTTGGGACCGAGGGAGGGCCTCTCCCCAAAACATATATGAGCCACATCTTAGGGCTCTGGGCCCCTCACTCACCTGAACCACGTCCTGTGGGCTCTGTCCCACAGAGCGAAACAGCTCCCTGGAGGCTGGGAGGTAGAGGTCCCGGAAGTAGTGCAGGGTGTCAGGGTCAGTGCCTGGGAACTCAGCTGTAGAAACCTGCGCCAGAAGCTTCCCCTCAAACTCGGTGACCACAGGGCCTGGCTCCACCAGGGAGATGCTGTGACCGGGCAGGGGGTAGTGTGAGTCTGATGGCTCAACCACTCCCTGCCCTTTTTTTTTTTTTTTTTTTTTTTGGGATGGGGTTTCCCTTTTTTTTCCCCGGGGGGGGGGGCAGGGCCCCGGTCCGCCCCACCCACCCCCCCC